GAGTGTGTCCCTGCAGTAACAGCTCAGCTCTGGGGATGGAAATGGGGAGCCCAGGGGGTCACTGGAATATTGGGGTGTCTCTGGAGTCCCACCACCATCTCCTTCTGCTGCACTTCCTTCCCAGGAAGAGATTAATTCATCTCCACCTCTTCAGTCCCTGGCACTGCCAAGCCTCTTCTCCTTGCCCCAACCTTTCATTCCCTAAGAAAGAAGCTCCCATGGGATGACAGGGGCAGCCCTGGCCCCGTGGGATGCAGGATTTACTCACCAATGGGTTTCCCTGTGTGGATGTCAATGATGAATCCAGGGGCTTGGTTCCCACACAGGATCTGGTACTCGGCTGGAAAGGGAACACCGAGCTCATGGCAGTGCCCAGCGAGGGCCAGGAGTGCTGGAATTGGGCTCTGAGAGGCACCAGGGGCTCCCCACTGTGCTGGGAGTCACCCCCAGAGCGCTCTCCTTCCTCCCCATTCACTTGTTGGTGCCCATGCCCCAAATTTCATGGGGAAATGGGAAAATTGATGGGACAGGGATCACATGGGAAGGCCTATGGTGAGCAGGGGTGGCACAGGGACCCTGTGGGGACACTTACGGCTGGCAGGGGTGGGACAGGGCTCGCAGGGTTTGTTCCAGGCCTTGCCAATGTTGTAGGAGCAGCAGCACATCTTCTTGGTCATGTTGAAGGACAGCTCGTTCTCGCAGGTGTCGTTGTAGTTGCGGTAGCAAACGCTCTTCCTCATGTCTGCAAGGGCAGTGCCAGGCTTGGGACAGCCCTGGGAGTGGCACTGCCAGCCCCGGGAATGGCACTGCCAGCCCCAGGAAGGGCAAGAAAGGCCTCCAAATGGAGCCCAAGCCACCACCCAGAGCAGAGCACCAAGTGCCACATCCATCTCTGAATCCCAGCTCCTGTTTCCAGCACTTCTGCTCCCTCCCCTTGGCACAGCCCCCTCTGGGATGGCAGTGCCAGCCCCCTCCCCAGAGATCTGGAGCATTCCCCATGGATTTGAGCCCTCCCCAGGAATGCAGAGCACCCAGAGCCGTACCCATGCAGTTGTTTCCCCCGTTGACCTGCATGTACTCAGGTGGGCACACGCAGGTGTAGTTGCCCAGGGTGTTGTAGCAGGTGCCAGGGCCACAGATCCCGATGTGGGCAGAGCACTCATCAATATCTGTGGGAGGAAGGACTCAGAGCAGTGGGCACAGGTGGAGGAGGGCACAGGTGGTGTGGGGGTAGGCTTGGCACGAGGGTTGGGTGGGTTTGGCACAGGGAGCAGGCTGGGGACAGGTTGGTGATGAGGGAATCTGGAAAGGGGAAGGGATGGTCCCAACCATTGCTGGGGCAGCTGGCACACATGGTCACCACTTTGGCACACACACAGTTGCCACTCCCTGTCCCCAGCTTTGGAGCAGGTGCCACCCCTGTCCCCAACCCCTGGAGGAGGTGCCACCCCTGTCCCCAGCCCCGGTACCCTCGCAGATCCGGGTGTCCTCGTTGAGGTAGTAGCCCAGGGGACACTCGCACTGGAAGCTGCCGAAGGTGTTGACACAATTCCCGCCCTGGCACAGCCCTGGCAGCTCCTGGCACTCGTCAATGTCTGAGGAGGGACAGCAGTGGGACATTTTCAGTGCCTGTGTCACCCCCCAGCTGCAGAGAGCTCAGCCCACCACATTTTGTGTCCATCACTCAGGGGTCAGCGGGCACCCAGTGCCATGGCACAGAGTGTTCCCACAGCCCTGGGGTTCCCCAGCACCCAGTGCCATGGCACAGAGTGTTCCCACAGCCCTGGGGTTCCCCAGCACCCAGTGCTATGGCACAGAGTGTTCCCACAGCCCTGGGGTCCCCCAGCACCCAGTGCCATGGCACAGAGTGTTCCCACAGCCCTGGGGTCCCCCAGCACCCCATCCCTCAGGAAGGGCCATGGGAACAGGGGTAACTCACCCTCCAGGATGACAGTGATGGGGTTGGGCCGGAACCCTTCTCCCCCAGGGCACAAGGTCTTGTACTCGGCTGTGGAGAAAGGCAGGGGGAGCTGAGGGGGCTGAGGGGCTCCCCTGAAGCAGGAAGGTGGGGAGAGCCAGGAAAAACCCAGCAGGAACAGCCCTGGGGCTGTGGAAGGGCTGGGATGGAGCAGCTCCATCCCCATCACCTGCTGAGCCACCCCACAGCCTGCCCTCCCTTCTAGACGTGATCCCACATTCCCTCCCAAGCCCACTGGGAATGAAGGATCCCAACCTGCACCCCCTAAACACAACAGCCTGGCCTCCCCCATCCCACTTCACCTCTGCCCTGCCCTGGGTGGAGCAGCAAACCCCAAACTCAGAACCTCCAGT